GAAGATATTTTGATCAACTGGACTGGGGAGAAATGATCACATATTGAAATGTTCACTTTGTAAGCTAAATAATATGACTCAATGTATATTTAAAAAATAAAGTAAAATAATAATAAAAGGAAGAAGAAAAAAAAGAACACACCTGGGGCACAGTCCCAAAATCTCAATAGGATGGAGCAGTGGAAAAGAAGGGACTGTGATATGACCATTCCCCATTGGGAATGCTTTCTCCCTCTCCCTCTCTGTCTGGCAAATATAAATAAATAAATAAGCTTATTTCATTATATTATTTCAAAGACAGAGTGAGAAACAGCATATAAAGTGTTTACTACATAGTAGACACTCAACACATATTAGCTATTATGATAATGTAAGTGTTCCCAGAGCTGAGAATGTTTTTAGCTCCTTCAGTTTCAGATGACATCAAAGCCTCTCACTAACCCCTTCCTCAAAATAGGATTGGGGGGAACCAGCAGTTAGTGTAATGGCTATGTCGCTGGACTCCCACGTAGTCGACCGCGGTTCGCGTCCTGGACCCGGTGGCTTAAAACTCACGCCGGGCGCGTGTGCGTGCATGCCCAGGATCCCGAGAGGAGAATGGAGGAGAAGGGATTGCGGCGTGACCATCCCCCCTGGGGGGTGATTTCTCACTTTCTGTCTCTAATGTCTCTCTCTGTCTGTCTGGCGAGCGCACGCGCCCTATAGTGAAAATCTCTCCAAAAAAAAAAAAAATAGGATTGGGAATTACGTGGCAAGGCGCTCTAGTTACTGGGAACTGAGGACATAAAATTTGAGTTTTTTAATTGTGTAATCATGGCTCTATATTCCTCTTTTCCAAGGTGTAGGGAGCACCCTTCTAAAATAGTAGTTCCTCGCTTCTGCCTTATCTGAAGTGCATTAATCATTCATGGCAAATCTGCTCTAGGTTTGGCATGCTTTAGCCCCTCCCTGACCTAAGGAGAGTCCCTACACACACACACACATACACACACACACACACACATATACACACACAGTGACCCCCAAATTTCTGGAGGCATTTTTTTTTTTAATCCGCAGTCAGAGGAAGGGTAGCAGTCAAAAACCCAGCTCAAACCAGGTTAGTCGGGCAAAAGGATGAGGCAGCAATTACTGACTCATAATTAAGAAATGCAGTGATTTCTCTGGGATTGAATGTGCTTGAAGTCAGGACTGAAGCCATTGTCATGTCTCTCCAGCCCTGGTCCTGTGTTGGCTTTACTCTCAGGTGTGTTGTTCATGGAGCAGTGCCAAATCAACAGCATCCTTGTACCGTAATCTCAGAGAAAGACTCTCCTCTAAGAGCTGTGTTGTCCCAACTTGGGACATGCACACATACACATTCTCAATCAAGGAGTTTCTGGTACTCTTAAACTGTATTATTTCCCACCCCATGGCCAAGTAGATAGGACCAAATCACATGGAATCAGGGTGACTTTTTTCTAAAAGTTAAGGACCAACACAAGCAAAAAAATGAAGTGATGGCACTTTTAAATTGAGTGATAAGACTGTCATGTTACTACTACCATTGTTGGTATGGAAGAGCTGTCCCAGGGACTGTCTTGACCTTGGGAAGGTAGGCTTAACTTAGCTAGCTTTGGGATTAAAAGTTTCTCTCCTTTCACCTCCTCCCCTTGAATTTAATTATACTTATTAATTAATTCTAAATCCCAAAAGTTGATTCTCCTTTTTTCATTTTGCCAGCATATTGACAGTTTAACAGAGTGGTTGAATATGGGCTCTAGAGTCCGAGTCTGCCTGAGTTTTGGTCCTGTCTTTGCTCACCTTGAAATCTTTTTTTTTTTTTTCCAAGGTAGATTTTTGCTATAGGGTACATGTACTCACCAGAGAGACAGAGAGACAGAAAGTGAAAAATCACCCCCCTGGGAATGGCCACTCCGCAATCCCTTCTCCTCCATTCTCCTCTTGGGATCTTGGGAAAGCATGCACATACGCCTGGTGTGAGTTTTAAGCCACTGGATCAGGGACTCGAACCACAGTTGACTACATGGAAGTCCATCCAGCAATGTAACCATTACACTATATGCTGGTCCCCAAATCTTAAGCAATCTCCTTAACTTTATGCATCTTCCTGACCTGTAAAATAAAGATAGTAATACCTATCTCATAGGGCTGTCATGATTCAATTAAAGAGTCAATGGCAAGTGATTGGCATAGTGCCTAGCACATAGTGAAGTACTCGATAATATCAGATACGGGGACCAGCAGTTAGCGTAATGGCTATGTCGCTGGACTCCCAGGTAGTCGACCGCGGTTTGCGTCCGAGACCCGGTGGCTTAAAACTCACGCCGGGCGTGTGTGCATGCGTGTCCAAGATCCCGAGAGGAGAATGGAGGAGAAGGGATTGCGGTATGGCCATCCCCCCTGGGGAGGGGGGGTGATTTCTCGCTTTCTGTCTCTCTGTCTCTGTCAGGCGAGCGCACGCACCCTATAACAAAAACCTCTCCAAAATAAATAAATAAATAAATAAAATCAGATATGGTACAGTTTTCAGTTCCAGTTTTGAAGTGTTATGTGTTTGTCTGGAATGGAAAGACTCAAATAGGTTGGGAGACTCATAAAGCAATAGATTTTGATATTTCAGAATGAAGAGTTGAAACGAGATGAAAGAAGCTCTTGGAACTTTAGTTGGAAGACACAACTACAATAATACTATTTATGATTCATTAAGTGTTTTTTTTTTTTTATCTATTTGTTTATTGTCATTTTCAGGCCACTGGGTCCAAGACTTGAACCACAGTCAGCCATGTGGGAATCCAGTGCTTTATCTACCACACTACTTGCTGGCCCCACTAAGTGGTACATTCTTACTAACTTCTTGTTGTTGTGGGTTTTTAAAAGAAAGATTTTTGCTGTAGGGTGCATGGACTTGTCAGAGATACAGAGAGACAGAAAGTGAGAAATCACCCCCCAAGATGTATAGCCATGCCACAGTCCCTTCCCCATTCTTCTCTTGGAATTTTTTTTTTTTTTTTTGGAGAGATTTTCACTGTAGGGCGCGTGCGCTCGCCAGACAGACAGAGAGAGACATAGAGACAGAAAGTGAGAAATCACCCCCCAGGGGGGATGGTCACGCCGCAATCCCTTCTCCTCCATTCTCCTCTCTGGATCTTGGGTACGCACGCACACGCGCCCGGCGTGAGTTTTAAGCCACCGGGTCCGGGACACGAACCGCGGTCGACTATGTGGGAGTCCAGAGACATAGCCATTACGCTAACTGCTGGTTCCCTCTTCTCTTGGAATTTTGGGCATGCATGTATGCACATGCTCCTGGCTTGAGTTTCAAGCTGCCAAATCCAGAACATAAACCATGGTAGGCCATGTGGGAGTCCAGAGACATAACCATTATGCCATCTGCTGGTCTCCATACTTACTGACTTTTATTTTATGGATGACAATGGACAATCTTTCTAAGCTTCTTGGAAAAGGGGAAAAAAAAAAAAAGTTTGTTCCTTACGTGTGTGAGAAATAGACATCCCCACTAGGGTCTTCATGCCACTCAGCCAGTGTACCTGGAGTGCTCAGGGAGATCCTGGACACCAGCCCAGGATCTTTCCTGTGGTCCACTGTGCCACCACCTGGTCACTCTAGGCTTCTTTTCACTCTTTTGGAGAATGAAGATATTTGGGTAAAATGATCCCCTTCAACTTTATCTTTGATCCTTAGTTGTTTAAGTAAACAATGAATATCGAAAAGTCTTTTGTCTTTGGCGTGTGTATATGCACATGTGTGAATGTATGAGAGAGACAGAGACGAGAAATAGCAAGTTAGTTTATATTGCAGCAAACAAAAGTGACGTATATTGGGTTTATCAGCTGACATTTGCTTTCTGCTTAAGAAGTTTCTGTCCCCTTTCTTACTCTACTGCACAGATCATCTCTGAGTATTTGTTAGTCTTATCTCACATCTTGGATTTTTCGAGGAAAGCTTCCTAGGCCGTGGTATATACTCTGTAATACCTGTATTGAAATCAGGTAGCTTGGTCCGGAGACTCTGTGCCGTTTACCTTGCAGTGTTACGTTGGACAAGTTATGTTCCCTCCCGTGTGCCTCGTTCTCCTCATCTGTCTAATGAGGCATTGCTTCCATTTCACTTTTCAGCCCTTTGCTAACAGTCTGTGATTCTGTGACTGTCACAGCATAGGTGGCAGAAGTAGCTGGGTTCCACAGGGAGAACTCGCTATCACCATTCCCTTTGAAGCATATTTTTAATCTGCTGCTCGTTATGTTTGCTGCAGGATTTCGGCTGAATGCCTCCTCTTGGCCCATGTTCCTTTTGAAGACACTAAATGGAGCAGAGATGGCTCCCATCAGGATTTTCCACAAGGTACGCCGTCCTTCAGGTCTCACCAACTCCAAACTCTTAAGGGCAGATACTTACATTCTTTCAGTTACTGAGCCGCTAATATCTGTTGATACATTACATTTATGGACTGAATATGCCTTCTCAGAAACTAGTTCAGTAGAAGGGTTTTCAATACCTTATGAAGCAGTAGTTATTCCCGGAGGAATATTAGACTACAAATCAGTATTCCTGGTTTTGGGGATCCCAGCTGCCAAAAATAAGCTATGTTCTTTTGACCTTATCTGTAAAGTAGGACTCTTCCTATCTTACAGAGTTGTTAAGAAGTTAAAATGTGTTTATTAGCAGAACATATAAAGCATAATACAAATCCTAAAGAGCCATTCTTGGGGCTGGCCCATTGCCTAGCAGTTAAGGGAGGTGGATCCCTTATGGCTAACTACAGTTCAAATCCTGGCCCCAGCAGCTTAAAACATATGCCAGGCACATATGCACGTGTGCCCAAAATCCCAGCAGGATGGAGAAATGGAGAAGGGATTATGGCATGACCACACCCCATGGGGGGGCGGTGCTTTCTCCTCCCTCCCCTTCTCTAGCAAGTGCATGTGCATTCTGGCAATTATAGATATATAGATAGATGCTAGCTGTTCTTATAAATCATAGAGTGTTATAGAGTCCTTCTTCTTCTTTTTCTTTTAATTTGCCAAAGAGATGAAGAGTACATGTGCTTACCAAAGAATAGGAGAGAGAGAATGAACCTCTCAATGGGATGTGGTCACACTACAATCCCTTCTTCTCCATTTTCTCATATTGTTAGAATTTGGGGTACACATACACATATACTCAGTATATTTTTCAAGCTACCAGGGCCAGAATTTGAACCACCTAGTCAGCCATGTGGGATCCTGCTCCCTTAACTAGGCCATGCAACCATCCAGGTAGAGTCCATTGTTCAAAACAGAA